GCCGTCAAATTACAATTATTACTTACTCGTGATTATACTAAGAATAGTTTATTTTAATATAACTGTTTTTATATTGTTATCAAATAAGAGAGAAGTAAAATTTATAATTTATTTTCTGTATTTTTTAGTTCCCTCGTCATACAATTAAATACAATTGTAGTAGATTTAACTTTTTAAAAATAAAAAACCCATTTATACAAAAATTTATAATTATTAATAAAATAATTCTGAATATTTAAATAATTACATGTTTTATATTATATATTCATTTATTTATCAACAATAGTAACTTTTTCGTTACCTTTAAAGTGAGAATAATTGTTTTTGAAGACGAAGAATGATTTTTTACTCCATCTTATTAATGAGTACAAGTCAAATCTGATAAGGTCTTTCATAAATCCTAGCAACCATAAATAAACAACATTTGCATTAAATAATAAGAATAATGTAAGTTTAAGATAATAAATTGCATCTGCTCGACTTAAATAAGATTATTTTCCCATAGAATGTTTCTTTCTTCCCCGCTAGTTTAATTTACTTGTTTAATAAAACATATTTTAGAACAAAAAAAAAAAAGTTTAAAATTGTGATAATAGAGAAAGGGGGAGCTTCTTAAGAAAATGAAGTCCCAAAACATTCGTCATTGGTGTTGACGGTAGGATAATAGAAAATATTGACAGCTCCTTTGTTTGTAAAATTAAATTTTATAATTTAGAAAGTCAAATACTTGTTTTTTTAAAATAAAAATAAACGATAATGCATTTGGTTTATTCTTTCTCAATAAACTAAGTATTTATAGAAAGTCAAATATTGTTAATTAACAATGTTTTCCTTGATAAGCTGAAGCTTCGTCACAAGAAAAAAGTTAAATAAAGTTAACGTTTGCAAGTGAATAATTTTGAACAAACAAGTAATTGTATATAATATTATTATTCTTTTATAAAATCATACCATCTTGATTATTTAAGTATAATCAAAATTGATATATTACTAATTTACCTTTAACTTCACAATTAAGTGATCTTACCTTAAACCTCACTAATAATACAGGGTCCAATATTTATATTAGACGTTCAACCTTCTCTTTTGTTGATTATGATCATTATTTAACTTTTTTTATTATTATTATCATTGATGGAAGGAAAATTCAAACCTTACCACTGTCAGCAACATCTTACAATTTTATTATCAAATATAAAAATAAAAATTAAAAGAAGTGGGCAAATTAATGCTTGCCATCGCCTATCGCACAACTACACTGTAGAAGCTGATTAAAAAAAACTGTAGAAGAAGACCATCTGAATGAGAATTGGAATCTCTTTTTTAGTCGGTTGACTTTAATTTTAGGAAAAATTGACATATTTTTAATTTTTTAATTTTTTGGTTTTATTTTAATCTGTATTTTTTAATTTTAATTTTATTTATTAATCATGACAGTAAAAATACTGTTAACAGTTGATTCAAATAAGCAACAGATCTCAATGCACCGAGTGCTAGTATGGTATTTTAGTGAAATCAAATTTACAGTGACACATTTGAATATAAAACATGTGATAGTGATTAATATACTGTATGAAATTTATTCAATACAAATGTAAAGACACGTAATGAACTGGTATAAATACTATAAATTTTCTTGTAATAAACTCACTTATCTTTTATACTTTCTTTTTGATCCCTATATAACCCAGCTTAAACGACAAAGGTCTGGACCGCATTATTGATAAAAAAAAAATTATTACAAAATTTTCTTTTTTATATTATAATTTAGATTGTTTTTATAGTAAGGTTCAAAATTAAACATGTTAAAATATAGAACAAGTCAACGCCAAGTTGGAAAAAAGAAGGTACTTAAATAAATACAACAAAGAGAAAATGAGAAAAAATATAATATTATGTAGAAAAAAAAAATTAGTACACTGTCAGTTTAAACTAATAAAAGTACATTGCTATGATGATTTATAATTAAATAAAAGTATATTAATTTTATAAATGATTGCATGGATAATAAAACTCAATCTGAAAAGGACGATCGGAGGGTCTCTTTTCCAGAGTGCCATTGTCTTGTCCACTCAACACTGCAGAAATTGTTGATCTGAATGAATCTGAAATTGAAATATTGGGAAAATGGAAAACAGATATGGCCAACATGACAAATATTTCAACTTTCTATCTAATTCCACACTACATTTTTCATCTTTTGGCGTTCACATTAATCTGGGCAAGAGATTACTGAAAGTGACACAGATTTTTTGGGCCCTTTCTTTTGCCTTTGATGTTTCATGTTCATGTATTATGTGGGTTGTGTTGTGTTTTAATTTCTTCTTTTGTACATTTTAAGATATGGTTGGCATAAGTGTACAAACCAAAGTGTGTGCAAGTGAGTCGAATGAATAAGACATTACCGATTGAAACGTTCGATCGTTGTTGGCATTACATTTTTACATGTTTGCGTCAATTAATGGAAATCTGACATACTCAGAAAACGAAATAGGGACAAGTTAAAGTTTATATATATATGAACAAAGTTATTTCAACAACGCAACCAATTTTAAATATAATCGTATAGTGGAAAAATAATGACAAACTTTTGTGTACAATAGTTTTACATAACATGAACGCATAATTTTTGTCAGTATGCATTCTAACCATGTAAACTAACAAGAGAGGCACGGGTTATTAAAAATTACGAGTGTATGAATAATAAATTAAAATTTTATAATTTAAAGGACATAAAAAACGAATAACATTTGTGTATTAAACTCAATTATAATATTTTTAATCATATTAATAATAAATAATTAAAGTAAAATAATTATTGATGCCAAAATTATAAAAGCTATTTGTAATAGAAGTTGCATTATTGAATTAAAAATATTATTACCATGTTTTATTAAAGAAGAATTGACAACAATTTAATGTAAATACTGTAATTTATTGTAATATTTTTTTCGTTAATTTACATAAAAAAATGGCATTAATTATTGTAAGAATATTTCAAGAGCCATATATTTTAAAAAATTATAAATATTTATTTTGACTATAATTTTTTATAAAAAATGTTATCATTATTTATGTAAATAATAGGAGTTGTTATTAAATTTTTACAATTATTATTTAGAAAAATAAAAAAGGTTGCTGTTATAATACGGTGAAATATTTATATTTTACACTGATTTTAGTAATTTTATGATATTAAACTCATTATAAAAATTTAATATAATTTTATTAATATATACATTTTATAAAATTATTTTTATTTCATGAAATATTTTTTTTAACCTTACTTATTTATTATCTTTGAATATTATTTAAATTTTATCCCTAGTTTCTGACATTTATTATTTTATGATTTTCTTTTGATTATAATTACATTTTTTAATTACAATTATTTTTAAATTTTTTTTAATTTTTTTATTAGAAGTATTTCTAATTTTAATTATTTGATTTTGATGAATATAATATTCCTTCATATTGTTTTTTGTATTGTTTTTTTCATTTAATAGTGCTTTTTATAAACTTATAATACCTTTCCACTCTCTCACTCTATATTTATATGACATGTGAGGATTGATTGATTGATTGACGTCCACTTTTATTGTATGTGTGTTTGTATAGATGAATTATGAAATAGAAAATTATGATACTCAAGTTTTTGCTATACATAAATATTATTGAATAAAATTATAAATTAGTGAGAAATAATAATGTTTATTGTTCTAAACCAATGTTAATAACAAAATAAAACATAAAAAGAAAGATTAATGAATGAGAGATAAAGGAAATTTATTTATTTTTTATATAGAATATATTCATTCAAGCAAATGAAAAAAAATTAAAAAAAATGTTTCTGTAAAATTTTATTATATTTTGTCAATATTACATCCTTTATAAAAAAACAAATAATATCATATTAAATTAAATTTGAAAGAATAATAAATATTTATAAAATTATGATATTGATTATTTGATGCGATGCAATGGCCCATCAATCTCCACTCAATTGCTTATGTGGGTGATTATATTTAATGTATATGTACTATATTTAATTGCAAAATCCTTCTTCACAGTTTCTTTTTTCTCTTTCGAGTATGATAAATTCCTCAGCAGCAAATTGTTCACAGTTTCTTTGTTCTGACTAAACCTGTTATGCGGGTGCTTTAATTTCACGTTACTGTGAGATAGGGCAATAATCATAAATGAATGGCAACTCCATAACTATGATATGGGGCAATAAACATCAATAAAGTGCACTCAAACTCTTGCTTTTCCACTCAATCTTAGAATAAAGAAAGACACCCAATATTTGATAGCCCAAGGCCCATTGCAACCATGAGTCAATTATGCTATGTAACCCAAATGGAAATTATGAAGTTTTTTAGCCCAAAATTGCCATTAAGAAGTTGATGTCTCAGTCGATCCATTGAGCTAATGCAGAGCCTACAGCAACAGTGCATCTTCATAGCTTGATCTCCCAAACCATATCCATTCTTATATTATCTCCTTAAATTTAAACTTGCATTTTTAAGAGTAAAATGATCCTTACATGTACTCAGAGACTTACATTTCTTATTTTATGACATGTATATTTTAAACTTCTATATTAAATCAAACTTTTCCCTTAATTTATTAAAGCGGATTTTATTTTCTTAAATTTTTTATTCAATCCTTAATTTTTTCAAATAATATTAGGCACAATGAAGTATATAAAAATCACCAATTTTTTCAAATAAATTAATTATAAATTTTCTATGAATAAAAGTTCTAATTTTCAACTTGTATTTATAATCGGAAGATAATTTTTTTTTATCAGTTAACACAATTTACCTATTAAATCTTTTTAGTTTATATTTTTAGAATTTACTTGTGTTTAAAAATAACATGCACACCAAATACTCACTAGTTCCATCATTTTTATCTTTGCTAGTGTTTGCTAATCAATTTAACCAAAACAAGGGGAAAACATATAGATGTAATAAAGAGAGAACGTAATATAGTAGGGTGGCAAAAAAAACCAAAACTTGTATACTATTTTTCCATCAGCACTTGATGGGTTGAGGCCTTTGACTATCTATATGTAATATGACATGTACATGATGATGATAGCTCTACCCTTTTGTGAAACCAAAACTTTAAACATGGTACATCATCCCAACTTCTAGAGATGATGCATGAGGTACCCCAATGACAAAGGAGGGTGCCCTACTATTTCTTCTTAGGAATTCATAAACACAATTAATAACTATTTTCTTCAGCATGCTAGAACCTGGTTTGGCTCTCATGTATGTTTGTCCTATAATGTATGCTACTCCTGCCTCCCTGGCTTCCATCACATCCTCCAACTCTTCCATTGCACCTGTGTCAATCTTTGGACTTTCTGGGACCAAAAACCTTACCCTTTTCTTCTGTTGGATCACAATTGGTGACTTTATCTCTCTTAGTTCTGATGTCCCTTCTGAGTCTACATTATCAGCATTATCCTCACTCATCAAAATAGAATGTGTAGAACATGTTCCTACAACTGCCATTCTATCATCCTTTTCATCCTCATCATTTGAAGAGTTCAATCCAGCACTTTCTGTGCGTATGAACTCCGCTATGCTGCATAGAAGATCATTCTCAAACTCAATGTCATCTTTGTGGACATCACGGTATCCATATCGCACTATGCACCTGTAGAGCCTGACGTCTTTCGGACCAACACGACCAACTAGAAACCGTTCCTCAGGTCTAACGTGTGGAACCGGCACATGTTTGATACAGAGAAAAACTAGGACCTGATGGAAGGCTGGGAGGTTGGTTACAAAGTGAGAAAATATTACAGGAATTCCAGATACTAGCTCAGTGTGTACAAGGCCAACCCCACGCACCCGAACGATGCCTATGCTGGGACCTAAGCCAAGTAGCCAGTTGATGGAAACCTTGTTTTGAACATCAAATTCATACTTTTTGAGGGTGCCATAGTGCCAAACATACATGACAGTCAGAAAAACAAGTGCAAATGCAATAGGCACCCATGCTCCTTGTAGGAACTTGATAAGAGAAGCTGAGAAGAAGAGAGCCTCAATGGATCCAAATAAGAAAACAAAGCCAAGTGCAAGGAGGACATTCTGGTGCCAGCATAGTACAATAACAAGTGACATCAAACAGGTGGTGACCAGCATCACTGTGATAACTGCCAAACCTGTTATACAAAGTATATTATGTCAGATTATTGCCAGAATAAAGCAGATACAACAATAACTTTAAGATTCTTCCACACTCTAGTTATGTTCTCAACTCAAAAAGAGAAACAAAGGCATTCTTCAGTGTACAAAGTCATGAGAATCATAAAAGTATCAAAGCTAACTTTGGTCGCATTTAAAACTATGACTACATCTTCTAGAAAATGCAACCTCTTGATTTTGCTAGTTCATTATTATATTGCTGAAAAATTAAAGTATGCCAAACTTGCAATCAATGTCATACCTGAGGCATTACCAAGGCGCTTTGTGTCTCTGAAACAAATAGTTACTGCCAAACACAAGAGCATCAATAGCCAATTGATCTCAGGGATGTATATTTGCCCGTGAATTTTAGATGATGTGTGAACTACTTTGACTCTTGGGAAGCAACTTAATGCAGAGCATTGCTTGATAATTGAGAACGTTCCAGTGATGATGGCTTGGCTTCCCACAACTGCAGCAAGTATGGCTATCACCAGAACAGGCCATCTCAATTTTTCTGGAAGGAAAAAAAAATCAAAAGTGTCAATTGGCTGAGAACTCTTCCATCATGTACTTTCTCCCTAAAAGAATGAGTTAAACCACCTACCTGGTACAGATACGTAAAATCCAAAGTGATAGTCGTGCTCAATTACATGATGTCTAGATAGATAAGCAGCTTGCCCCATATACGCAAGAATTAAAGATGGATAAACCACAGAAGTAAAAGCAATCTGCAGAAGAGATGTTAATTAAATAAATAGGCATTTCCAAAAGCTATTTAACTATGAAACAGAAATCAATATGACTTATAACAAGTTTTAACACATTAATCATGCAAATATACTACTGTATGATGTTTGCTCTATCTAATATTAGGTAGATCCACTTATCCTGTATCAAATGAAACCAAATTTATAATAGGATACCTTGATTGATAATTGAGTAAAGTGCCCAAGATCAGCAAACATGGCTTCTGATCCTGTAAAAGTGAAATAGAAATTGTGTGAATATTGGCATAAAATCTAAATTAATGAACAAGCAAACAAACTGACCTGTTATGCACAGCAAAATTCCACCAAGGGCCATCCAACCTCCTTTCTGAGTTTTCCTTAAAAGTTGGTAAACATAATATGGAGAGAGTGCTTTGTATACATGAGGATTCCAGTGAAATATATTATATATTCCAATGGCACTGATACAGAAAAGCCATGTGATAATTATAGGAGCAAACAGGAAGCCAACTCTGTGCGTGCCATAATGTTGAAGGACAAACAAGCCTATCAGTATGATGCATGCAGCTGGAACCTCTACATCTGTCAAGTATAAAGTTTCAAAGGTAGTATCAGTGAGGAATGTAAATAACAGAGAAGACTGATATCAAAATTCTAAGTGCAAATAAAAGCAACAAAGGTATATAATGGACAAACAAAAATTGCAGCACAGCAGAGCAGCAGCTAATTTTCTTTGTCTTTTCATCTCTAATTGTCAATAACCAAACTCTAATTTCTCAAAAAATATGTATAAAAAAAAATTGTAAGGGACATGCAAGTTTAAGGAAATCCTATTATTGATAACAGCTACGGCAAAAGTAATTTCCCTCCTCAAATAAAGAGCCTGTTTATTGGTGTGTGTTTTTCTTAAATTAATGAAAAAGGTATGTTTTAAGAAAATATAATAGAAATATAATTTTTTTTCAAAAAGTTAGTGTTTATCTTAAAAGCTAAAAGTCCACGAAAAAAGCTCTAAAGAGTTATATCATAGAATCACTTTAAAAAACACATGTTAAACGAACAGGATAGAAAATAGATCATGCTTAGTTACAAAATAACACAAGTTTCTCAATGTAGCAACAGTTCAGCATGTTACTGCAGCAGAATTGGGCTAAAGATACAGCATGTAAACACCCAACTCAAGTTTCAATTAACACCAGAGCTGAGAGAGACCAACATGGAAACTACCATAGTTAGAAGTCACAGCACACTATTTCATGGTCCACCTAATTTATCAAACAAGTTGTTTTAAGTCATAGGTCAAATACATTCCCTAAAGCACTCTCGCTGAAGGACTTCACATATGTTAAATACCATGGCTTATCTAACGCACAGTTTCTCACAAGATGAGTATTAAGAAACATCACCAAACTGGGAAAAGGAGAACACATCCAACTAAGAAGATAAATTACCACGGATGCAAAGTTCCTGGATAAAAAAGAGTTGTTTTCATTTTTTTTTTAAGAAGAAGTAGAATAAAACAGTTCAGGTCAACAGGAATCTCCTTTTGATCAATAGGCAAGAAAATTATACATAAAGTGTTCAATTATGACCCGTATCTAAGTCCTAGACAAACTAATGACCAGACACAAAAAATCAATCTGAACTTACATGCGTGATTCTCCTTGGACATTGAAAGCTCCAATCCAGACACAGCAGAGAAAACTGCACTCAATCAAACAACTCAACTCAGTGACTCACTCAACATAACCAAATAGAAAAGTCAAAACTTCCTATTCCAAATAAAATAAAATAAAATATGGCACAACACAATCAATCACCAGAAATAGCCGGTGTGAGGATTCCATCACCAATGACCATGCAAGTCCCAATCAAAGCCAGAACCAACAAAACCCTTTGCAGAACCTTGTGCTTCTCAAGCGTGGACTTGAGTCTAGAAGCAAAGCTCCTGTCTGGGGCCACACCATAGAAATCCTTCTTGTACTCAATGAGTTCCTCATCTGCCACTTGACAATTGGGTAGAGAACTAACTCTGGCATGGCGACACAACAAAGAGTACAAAGCAAACGTGCCTCCTTCACCATTATCATCAGCTTTCAGCACTATGAACACATATTTCACCAAAGGAACCAAAGTTATTGTCCAAAACACCAAAGACAAAACCCCATATATCTCTTCGTTGCTCTCCGAGTGCGCAATATCTTCAGCAAACGTGCTTCTGAACACGTACAACGGTGAAATGCTCAAATCTCCGTACACAACTCCAAGACTCTGATATGCCAGAGTCAGAACCGTTTTCCATGATTCTTTCTGCAAACCAAGAATTAAAAATTTTAAAAGAAAAGAAAGAAGGGAAGGAACAACTGAACAAGTCTGCATTCTCAGCCAACACCAACAACCTTGTACGAATCGAAAGTAGAATTGAATTGAAAAATTGAAACTTTTCAGTTTTTTGAGCATGCCCATCTCCCTCACCTTGGCAAACTGTCGACGAGTTCCACCTTCCAGATCCATGGCATGCGCACTGATGAGTCTCAAATAACCATTTTTTTAACGGAAATTGAAGGTTTTGATGATCACCCAATTGCTCAAACTAGCACCCCAGTTGAAAATAACAGAGATATAATGAAATTAAGATGCGTATATACTATATATATTTTGAGTGTGAAAGAATTTTATTCGAAAAAGAAAGAGAAAAAATTGTTTTGTTTTAATTAATTTAATTTATTGTTACTAATATAATAATAACAATAATAATATCTAGGAAGTAACTTTCCAGATCCATGATGGGGTTTTAAACAAATTCAAGGAATCCCTTTTTCTCAGTAAAATATAAAGATTCAACTATGAGAAAACGACTCCACCAGCTTGCAAGTAGAGTGGTTTTCCTTTTTCTTTTTGAAGAGTAAGATGGAAAGATGCACACGAAATAACAGTTTCATTAATTTATTTTAATTAATATAAAGAGTGCAAGACAAAAGAAAAGTTCTCTTATATGAGAAGCTATCGTTCACACAGTTGAACAACCATCAACAAAAAGAGGTATAGAGCAAACACGAAAAGCCACAGGTTCTGTGAAACTAGGCATTAAAATTCGAAGACTTCTAAATGAGTAGTTTGCGTGTATTTTTAAGAGAAAGTGAGGGATTAAAGATAGTGGTGGGGTTGGTGAGAGGTTTTGCCTTGCTTTTGGGCAATTTAGGTTCTGATAAGAGCGTGATCTTCTCCACATGGGCATAAGCATGAGGACACTCTGTGAAATAGTAAATCTTAGTCTAAGGTGTTGATTTTACAATTTAGTAAAGTAATTTAAACTTCCCCTATAAGGTTCCAAGGTTTTTAATGGAGAGAGAGAAAGAAAGAAAGAAACTGAGCTAAGTAATTAGAATTTGTGAAACAAGCAATTACTCAAGCTGAAGGTAAAATAGAGAGATAAGTACAAAATATAGATAAAGATAAAAACTGAAAATTGAACTGGAATGTAATTAAATCTGTGATTGTTATCGTTGTCAATTTGATTTCGTTTGGTTTTGTAATTGTGAATTTTATGGTGGAGTTATGTTTCTCTTCTATTCCCATTTTTCGATAAAATTTGGTAGCCTTGCTTGATGTTTGGTCTGGGAATAGCTGGCAAGTAAGAAATTATTTCACATTTGTCAATGGTAGTGACTTAAATTTTTATATATATTTTTTATAAATAAGTATGATGATATTATTTTATTTTATTTTATAGAATCTTCACTTTGTAGAATAAGATTTTGTTGTTATTGTTGTAAGAGTAAAATTTTACCTCAAACATCTATAGTACAATGATGGCAATGACGGAATTTATAACTTCATGCAAACTATTTAAATTCCAGTTTTAAGAATCTATTTAGTTACTTCTTCTGGGTTTTTTATATTTTTAGTAGTTTTATTTATTTATTGTTATCATTTAATAAATTTAATGAGGACTTAAGTTTTTATTAATAAATAATATATATTTGGCAGAAAGTAATAAAGAAATTTATTAGTTATTATAATAAATGAAATATACAATAAAAAATTAAGAATGGTTTGTTTTTATAATTTTAAAACATTGACTTTTAATTATCGTATAAAACTTTAAACATTAAAAAAATGGAAGAAATATCCCAAACTAAATAAGTAGTCTTTAAAATTTACTCTTGTTTTCGTGTATTTGAAATCAGTCACATGTCTTGAACACCAACTAAAACTTCATATTGCAAAATTGTTACTTTAGATTTCTAAGGGGGAAACATAACAAACTAGTTTCTTTATTTTTAAACAAGTATTTTTAGGGTACTTATCAATAAATAAATAAAAATATTTAATATATTAAAATTTAAAATATTTCATTTTCTATTAAAAAATTTATACTTTAGTATTAAAAAAGTAACATAACTAAACAATTAAAATAAAGAAAGGAATTACTTTTGTCACTACAAAGTAATAAAAATAGCTCAATTTTTCGCAAAATATTACTAGTAACTTTGCTTCTTATTTTTTTCCCCCTTAACTAGGTTCATACAGTATTACAGCAATGACAAGGATCTACGTAAGAGCTGACACATACAAATTTCATTAAACTATATCTGTGAGTGTAAATAATTGTATGTCAACATTACTCAAATCTCATTGAGAGAGAGGGGTCTTCTTTGGAAAGAGAATAATATTTTTCCCCTATAAAAAAATTATACCATTCAATCTTTGGGACCTCATTAACTAGGCAAGTCCTATCATCAATATAATAATGATGCAAGATATATATATTTAAAAATATTTTATCTATTGCTCCAATGATTCATATAGTTAATAATCATACTATTTTCTTTTGCTAATAATAACCATGCACTATTATATTATTACCAGCTATGCAAGTGGTATTCCCTAGTCCCCACACAGGGGCATTTTAGATAAGTTGTGCACCATTGAAATTGATAGGGCTACACGTAGTTTTCTTTCTTTTGGAAGCACTCTTGTCATCTTGTTAAGGGTGGTATTCTGGTTAAGTTGGTCCTATCTGGTTATGCATATATGGAATGTTATAACAACAATAAATGCAATGATCTTCTAGTAACAGCTAGATAGAGCGCGAAAGAGTTACAAAGAATGAGACCCTTTTTGATGAGATATATTTTGTCAGTTTCATAAAGCTGAAACATTCAATGAAAGGGTATCTTAATTTTGTTTAAGTTAATAGTAATAATAGGGACAATTATAAGGCACTGAAAAATGAGAAGCGGTTTTCAGGATGATTATGGTTTTGAATAGATGGTGTTGACCCAAAATTAGATCTGATAGGCTATCACAGGCAAAACCCATTTGATTCTTATTCTGTATAAGCAGACGCTCATATTTCCCATATGTGCGCTGGCCTTAGTGGAATCTCAGAATCAGAGAAAGCATCATTCCTTGGTTGGGAAAGTCTACATATCACTTTTTAAACACTATTTTCTTTGTCTTTTCACAACCTAATATTTTGACAAAAACCATCACTCTCTTTTTTTAATCAATTTCCACCTTTGAACCAAAAACAGGAAAAATATTTATATATATTATCGTAAAGGGGTAAAAATTTATTGGACAGGAAAGCAATAGTGCATAAACCAAGTGTTTTCCCTTTTGATCTCATTTTTCCTTCTTTCCTACAGTTTCTTGTATGATTGTGATGGCGAAAACATATCAGGTAACATCCTTATTTAAAAACGGGTACAGCCAATTTAACTAATATTTAAATTATACTTAACTAAATTAACCAGTTACCAAAAAAACTTATTTTAAAAAACCATTTCATTTTTTGTTTTAGTTCAAAAACTAAATACTACCTTTAATCCTATTTATAAGAAATAAATTCATAATTTATTATAAAAATAAAAAAGTAATTTTATCTCAAAAATTTATATTTTACTTTAAAAATAATGATATTATTAAATGATTAAATTGAGATGTTCTGTACTAAACGAACGAACGTACCTATTAACATGAATATTTTATTTATTTAATTTAAGAGTATAAATTTTTTAATAATTAATATGTCTATAAAAAAATCTTTATTTCTTATATTTAAATAAAAAATATTAGTAATTATTTCTTATAAATAAAATCAGATATAGTAGTAACTAATTTATCTTCACTTATTGCTAAATTATTGTTATGATCATAACTTGTGACATTTCATAAAAATAAAAAAATATGACAAACACAAAATAGTAAACATGGTCAATCAATTAGAATATAATACATTATGATTATAATTTTTATATTAACTATATTGTTGATAAATATAATTGAATGATAATATTTTTTTAACACTATTAGTTTATTTAAAATGTAGCTTAATTGTATTTTTGTTTCATCCTTATATTTTAACATGTATATAATTTATTATTTTTACTTTTAATTTACTCACATTTAGTTTTTATAATTTTTTAATTGTTTGAATGAAATATTTAATTTTTTTATTCTTTTTAAAATTTGATAAATATATATAAAATTATATGTTTATCACAATTTCATTAATTATTAAAAAATAAAATAAAATTAAAAATTAAAAAATTTACATTTTTTAAATAAACTAATAACGTAATAAATTTTTCACTTTTTCATATACTAAAGAATTTCACTTGAAAAAGAAAATATTTTATACTAACAGACTCAAGTTTATAACTACAACTATGGATTTCAATGTACAATACCTTGTAATATTTATTAACTAGTTATTTTAGATTAGTATTATACAAATTATAGACACTAATATAATTAAATTTGCTCTTTGTAGACAAATTTAAAATTTGCAATCTCAGATAAGATCGATTCAAGATCATGAAATTCTTTTCTATCAAATAATTAAAAAATATTGTTTCACAAAATATACTTCTAAGTAATTGTTTTATAGATTTTATATTTAATTACATAAAAAAAAAATATATAACAATAAGAATTTTTATTTGTACAAATGATACTTTGAACTTGGAAGGAACATACAAAAATTAACAATACTTTTTTTATCTTTTAAATTGTTCTATCACTCAGAACCTTTAACAACGTTACTTAAAATGTAAACTAAGAAAACTAAAATTTTTCTAAAATCATATTTTGTTGAAATGTTATTTAAATTGTGTAAAATGTTGCTAATAACAAAATAATTTATTTGACTCATTCAAACAAGAGATTTTAGTAAGATGTTATAAAAAAATTACAATATATTTTGAGCTTAAAAAATAATTAAAAATAAATAAATTTTGATTTTTAATAAAATTTTATAAATTCAACCAGTATCAAACTTATCATATTTAACTAAAGTAGTTTAGATTTAATTTGAGTTTAAAATTTAAAATTTAAATTCTACATTTTATTAGAAGAATTAAAGTAATTCAGATGAATGTATATTATTTTAGTAACTATATTTGATGAAAATACAGTGACACAATAGAAAAATTATGTAAAAATAATTTAAATAAAAAATTGTTTTTAAGATATTAAATAAAAATCAAATAATATTTATTATTATAAACACATAAAAGTATTTAATATTTATTTTTAAAATAAATAAAATATTCAATATGTTAAAAATACAAAGATTATGTGATAAAAAATTCTTTTTATATAATAATACAAGTAATTTTAAAATT